CGGCCCTGTGCTTCCCACCCCCCTCCCTGTGGTCCATCCCTCTTCTAGAGGTTACCCCCCATCTCTACGAAACGTGCTCTCGTCGGCATTATGTCACTGGTCAGTTTCAGTGTTACATGTCTGGTTTTTGCCCTGCGATCAGTTTAGCTTAAGTATACTCCGCCACTGCTTCCAACCAAGCGCATCACTGTTCTTAATTTTCCTGTGGTTTCCTCTGTAACCCTGAGGAATGTGCTCGCACCTCATGCTCCGCCGGGTATAAACCGCACAGCCGGACGCTCTGACGAGGCGGCCGCTCGTCTGCCATCCCAGGAGCCCTTCTAGGCTTCATCGGCCTCACCTGCAGAGCTGGTTCCCGATGTTACCCAGCGGCAGCAGTGATTATCTGCCCCAGACTAAGCAGTCATGTTTACATGCTGCCAGGTGGGGTGGCTTGATGTCTTTCTTTATTCTGCTGTTCACTGCACTCTCTCTGGAGTTTCTAATGCCTTCGAACCATTTGCCTTCGTTGTGTCTTTTTCCTTCTTGTTCCCCTCAAACTCTCCAGCCCCCGAGCTCTGTGGTCACATCCTCCTCCCGCCCAGGCACACCCTCCAGGGGCTCTTCAGCCCCCTGCTCCTGACTGCCCTGGGGCTGCGCCCCTGGGGGCCAGGACCCTCTGTCCTCTGGCCCTCCTGTCTTCCCTCCCTGCCTGAGTTCAAGTTCAAGGGGCTCTCAGTGAAAGAACACTAATAGACAAGATTTTGGATTTCACATCTGAAACGTTTTCCACCCTATCTTCTTACTCTCTACTTTGATAGTTTGGCTGGGTAGAGAAATTCTGGTCAAAGTCATCTTCCGTCAGAAATGGTAGTGTTTTAGCATCCACCGTGGATAACAAGACATCTTATATCAAACCCGTTCATATTCCTAGCGAGAGCCTTTCTGGGCCCTTGGTTTTCTGAAACTCTTCAGGAATGCGTCTGGGTATAGGTCTTCCTGCTTGTGGCACTGAGAAACCAATCAGTGGGCTGCTTCAGTCTGAACACTTTTGTCTTTATTCTGGACAATTCTTTATCTTTTTTTTATATAACTTTATTTTCTTTAACTGATTCCTACTAGTCACATATTGAACCTCATAGATTCTTCCTTCAGGTCTTTTGTTTTTTTCTCTTGTATATTCTCTTTTTTCTTATTTTCTTGACATGAGGATCTCTATTTTATCCCCTTACCCTTCCCTGATTTTTGAAAAATTTCAACAATTATTTTTTTATTTTAAAAGCTTTTTCTTATCTTCTGATTGCTCTCTCTTCCTATAAAACCTTTTTTTTTTCTTTTCTTTTTGCTTAGCAGAAGAAATATATATTGAATCTCTGATACAAAATAGAGAGGAGTTTTCTTTACATACACAAAAACATGTTCTTTTGTTCCTTATATTAGCTCTGTTTGCTTTGATATATGTCTTTTGCTATTTCTTTTCCTGTTCGTCTGCCTTGGTCTTTTTTTAAAAAAAATTTTTGTTGATTTATTATTGAGACAGAGAGAAACATAGCATGAGTGGGAGATAGGCAGACACAGAATCTGAAGCAGGCTTCAGGCTCTGAGCTGTCAGCACAGAGCCCAACGCGGGGCTCGAACCTACGAACCGTGGGATCATGACCTGAGCTGAAGTCGACACTTAACCAACTGAGCCACCCAGGCTCCCCCCCTGCCTTGGTCTTTCTAGCTACTGGCAGAGGCTTCCATATCCCTTGGTCCCTCCTCACCCATCTCCAATTAGGTACAAACCTATCTCTAAGGTCTGTGTATGTGGGGGGTACTTCCTCATAGTACTTGGCTGGGGATGGGCCCAAAATGCAAGAAGGCAGAGCCTACTGCTCGGAAAACCAGTTCCCATAAGTAACCAGCTGGAACTTTCTGCAGACATTTCACTGTGTGTCTTCTGAAAGTAATTCTACTTTGAAGAAAGGGACGTTGATGAGGTAATGGAGACTTGTTTTATGTGTGCTGTTGCTATTGTTGCTAACTAGGAAATCAATTCCTTTTGTGATGGGACAGTCTTCCTGGGAGACGGAGGAGGATCTGAGCCTTACAAAGTACAGCAGTCCGGCAACCATGTGAAAATCCCTGCCTGTAAGGAGTGAGGAAACCGAATCAGATAGTTCTGTGAAAGTTAACAAACACCAGGGGGAATTCAAGCCCAGCCTGCAAGCTGGTCTGGATTTCCCAGCTCACAATGTCGCTGAAACTTCGGTGGTGTCCCTCACGGGGACAAAACCCACAGCGCTCTCAGCATGAAAAGATTTGAACCCAAATGAGACAGAACTCTTTAATTATATCAAAATGGGGATGGAGACTGTCCTCAAATGCATTCTCTGCTACTTACGGCTTTCCTTTGCTTCTTTATATCAACAGTCCCTAAGTGATGCATAAAACCAGACCGCTCTCCTTGCCAGTGTGCAGTCCTACGGATGGGAGTGGCTTCGTGGTCACTGATTTAAGCTCTAATATCAGAGATGAAGAGAGGGAAGCCCAAGGAAGTTTCCAAAGTGCAATACCAAGGTCACACAACCAGCTGGTGGAAGACGATGTTAATTAATAATTTTTGCTATTATTCTGGTAGTGATAAGCTCCTTTGAGTGCTCCTTAAGATCTTAAAAATGAGAATTTCCTCAAACCAGCTGCTCTGAGAAATTATTATTTTCATGCTCTTTTCTCAGAAATGCACTCCGGGTTCCAAAGCTTTATGGATACTACTTAAAAAATATTTCTATTCTATTACTAACTTTCTTCTATTTGGCTTTCAGTAATATACAGTGGGGGAGGGGAGGGGAGTGACACTTCCAGGATATAATTTAATTTAATTTGGGAAGACTTTCCTTTGAGTATTTTCACGGAACTCTGTGGTGCACATTTACATGGGGGTATTTGTTCCACATGTGTTAGTTTTAAAATACTGTTTACCAGGATGCAGAATGTCCATAACAAATATTTGCTCCCCAGACCATCTGGTGCACACCCATGAGGTTCTGTTCCCAGCCACTGGACACCTTGCCACTGACCCATTTTGACACAGGGCAGGACTGCATCGGCAAAATGTAATGATCAAAGCTGCTTGTGGTAACAGATCTTTTTTCATGGGTTTATCTCAGCCCCGTATTCTTAGGACGAATCTGGATATTGACAAACTGTGAGAGAGAAATTTCTAGGTGAAAGAAAAGCATCTTTGAGAATGCCAGGGTTTGGGAGAGCAAGTGCGGGTGCAAGCCATCCAGATGCTCTTTCCGAGGCCAGCAGCTCCCTGGACAAATGGTGACCCCACCACCGTGCCTTCCACCCCCTCTTCTGTGAGTCACCTGCTTTCCTCTGGGGCTTGGGTTGTGTGTTTGGGAAATGCGGCACGAGGCAGGGGACAGGGAGACCCATAGGGATTGTTGCACCCCCAGCATTTTATGCTTCTATGTCACAAATTTTAAAAAAATTTCTGGAATGTGGCTCAAGAAAGCCATTTAAAGTCTCTCTGTGTCTGGCTGCAGAGCATTGAATAGAAGCCTGCAGAGGTTTTTTCCATGAGCTGAATGTACTTCACCCAACACTAAAGTGGAAAACACTTAGTGTCTTGGTGAGAAGGGCCTTAGGGACCTCTTCACGTCCACTTCAGTGTTTCTCTAGCCCAGGGTCATATTTTATCTTGAATTATGATGTTGACTTATAAATACTGCAAGTACAAATACGTCCGCTCAGTTACATAACACAGTGGATAATGTTGTTTAAATAAGTAAGTTCAGTTAAAAAAAAAAAAAAGCCTCCTGCGTGACCCACGGACATGCTTATCAGCATTTGAGGCTGATGTGTGACTTATGTGTGCAGCGCCAGCACTGAAAGCAGCATTACTATGTTGATAACGTAGTAATAAACCCGATTGCTCAGCAGCCCTCACCGCTGACCGGGACAACTGACGTACACAAATATGTAGACACAACCCGTGCCCCGCTCCCTGGGGGCTGGGGACCTGCCCCTGGAGGTCACATAGCTGTGGCCGCCTCAGTCCTCGGCAGGGACACTCCCAAAGACGCAGTGTGGCCCCAGAGTCCTGCTCCCTCACAGCTCCAGTGGCCGCAGGAATGCCTGTTCAAAGCCAGAGCTTCCTTGGAAAAACACGGGTCAAAGCAAAGTCAGCTGCTCTTTGGGCAGTGACCTGGTGCGATGTGACAACTGATGACAGCAAAGGCGAGCAGGAGCCGGTAACACCAGAATGACAGAATGACGGACCAGAATGACCAGAATGATGCAGCCTCCCCTTCCCCCCGCTTTCTCTGCATCTTATAAACCCTTCCCAGCCTTCATTTCCACCTCTGTTCATGGGATCTGTTTTAAAGAGGGATGTAGGTCTAGAAAGAAAAGAGCATGTACTTCAACGTCAGCCCAGAAAAGCCTTGGGAATGAGCCAGTGGTCATGCGGAACAAGGGTGTGTGTTTTCAGGTGGTGAAATGAATAAAACTCAGAGCACAGATGTCCCAGTGAGCATGGCCCTGCACCCTCCCGCCCACCAGGAGGCCGCCTTTCTGCTCCATCTTGCGGACAAAGCGGTCACGGTCACGGAGATGGGAGGGAGGAAGGCAACACACCGGCTCCCCCATAAAACGGGAGAAGAGAGTAATGAGGTCCCGGAGATGACATAAGTAAACCCCTCCGACTCCAGACTCTGTAACTTCAGACTCTGGGCAGATCTGACCCAGAGGTATGTTTCTTCTCTCCATCAGAGTGGCCCCGTTGATGACTTCACATGACCGTATCTCAGAGGGACTTCTCAATATTCCAATTCCAGAGCAAGCTGACTTGAAAAAAAATATTAGCCCAGACTGGCAGTGTTGATCAAGCAGGAGGGAACAGACCCATCGCGTAGGTCTCTTTAGGGTTATGATATGATGACAGAATGTCCAAATGTCACCATCCCCTGAGGAGCATCGGGGCACAAACCCTCCCTCCTGACCTTGGGGCATCACCGTCTTTCCACAAGCAAGAACAAGAGCAAATGGCAGCTCAGTGCTGGAAGCACTCTCCCAAGAAAGTATCCACCTTGCTTCCTTTCCCACTTTGAGACAGCTGTGGGGACCCTTTAAGGTCAAAGTGCCTCTTCTCCTACCCAGAGGCTCAGCAGGAAGTAACTATCACAGGAAAAGGCTGCTGCATCAAGAGATCTTAAATCAGAGTAACAAAGTCCTAAGCTCCTAGGGCAGAGCTTAGTTTATAACTTCTGGACCCCGACCTGGGGTTTGAGAGCACCGTCCATATTCCCAGGCAAAAACTTAATGGGGAAACAAATCACTGAGAAGGCTGTGTTTCCAGTGAAAGTGCTCCCAACATGCATGACTGAAACAGTTGATAAAAATGCTAGGTGAGTTTGAACGGTCACCCACACACACCCGGGGCCTGGACAGCCCTTGAAAGACATGAGGCTGTGTTCATAACGAGCACTCAAGGGTTAAGACGTAATAGATGATCTGTGCAAGCAGGCATTTGAGAGTGACAACTGAGACCTAGGAGGAGCTTAACAATATGTTTGTGACAGGTAAGTTTGAATGTGCAGGATTGGAAAGATAATGTTTCTCAGCTGCTTCTTTAATTATAGCTTTGAAAGAGAAGGTTGTCAGTTACACCTTCATGGAGGAAACTGTCTTGTGAGGTCTTTGTTAATTATGTCTGTCTGTCTGCATATTGAGAAGCTTCCCAATCCCCTGGCCCTGCAGTAGGCATAGGTCCCCGGCTGGAGCACCTTATCCACAGGTTGGTCAGTGCAGTTCTCCAAAAAGTGGTGAGGTCAACAGGCAATCCACTTGGACTCACGAAGCCCCTGCTAGCCTTCACCGGAAGCCCCATCAGCGTAAGTGCCATGCCATCTCCCCCGCACTGGCCCCCTGGGCGCCGATACCAGTGTCCATCATGGTCATTAACCTTATCGATGGAGAGCTGTGTGAGTCACCGATGGCTTTGTCATCTGTCGTTTGCAAAGGTGTAAGTTCAGGAAACAGTTAGACCCACATGTCAGAAAGGCCCTGACCAGGAAGAATTCCAAATGATGTGCATAAATACTTTCCCCTCCAGCCGGTGAGCTTACCACCACCCCTATACCCCCACCCCCAGGAGTGTGGGCTTGACCTCATGACTCGCTTCCAAAGAACAGAGGATAGCAAGGAGAAAGTAAGGTTACGCTGGACACTCCACCTGAACCAAACGGTCAAAGTAATCACGTCCAGTGGTGTCACATCTGCATCATGTACCCCTGATAAGATGCCACCCAAGGGAACTTCACCTTCCTGGTATTCTTTCCAAAAATTCCCTGAGCCCCAATGTGAACGTGAGAAGGATCTCAGAGAAGCCACACTGTGGGGCATTCTATAATGTTGAATAACACTCCTCAAAACTGTCTAAAACACAGAGAAAGATGGAGAAACCGTCACAGACCAGAGGAACCTGAGGAGGAAGGACAGCTACATGCAGTGTGCTGCCCGGGATGGCATCCTGGACCACAGAGAGGTCATGCGTGGGGGAACCCAGGAGATCCAAACAAGGTCTGGGGTCTGGTCAGCGGCAGGGCAGTGCCACGAATCTCTGAGACCTGGCACACACACCATGGCCGTGCAGGAGGGCAGCCTCAGGGCAGACTGGGCAAGGGGGACATGGGCACGGGGCCGGGACCAGGTGCAGGTGAGAAAGGCTTCCAGGTGCAAATGTAGGGAGGCACTCACTCTCGGGACCTGCACGTGCTGGCCTCTCGTGACCCTGAGTAGGAACTCTCTATGCTGCATTCGCAGCTTTTCTGTAAATCTAAAATTATTCCCAAATCAAAGATTTATGAAAGAAAAAGATTCTGGTTGGAATCTTGCAATATCCTCATTAGCATATGGAACCTCGGTGTTCCTGGCAAAGGAAAGGGAGAATGTGGTACCACCACCACGCAGGGCCAGTGACCGTAGGGGTCCAGGTGCGCCTCCAGGTGCGCCTGGGCCTGCCGAATCACGCAGCACAGACAGAGAGTGTCGTGAGGCTGTCTTGGCCCACCAGCTGGGGTATGACAGCCAAGCAGGAGCACCCAGGTAAGGTACCACGTGTCGCAAACCCAGAAGGACTCCTTAACACAGAGCCTTAGATACCTAATCAAAGTACCTGCAGACGATGTTGGCTCACATACGGATGGGGTCCTCACTGCTACAGCCAAATGCGGGTGATACAGCATGGATTCTGAGAAGAATCCCTAAAGCACTGGGGCGCCTGGTGGCTCAGTCGGTTGAATATTCCACTTCGGCTCAGGTCACGAACTCTCAGTTCATGGGTTTGAGCCCCGCGTTGGGCTCTGTGCTGACAGCTTAGAGCCTGGAGCTTCTTCAGATTCTGTGTCTCTCTCTCTCTCTCTCTCTCTCTGCCCCTCCTCTGCTCACTCTCTGTCTCTCTTTCTCTCTCTTAAAAAAATAAATAAACATTAAAATTTTTTTTTTCAAGAACCCTCAAAGCACTGGCAAGAGCCTGAAATTAAGGTGGGCAGCATCTAGTTGGGTCTTGACATGAGTGAGAACCGTGTTACATGGTCTGGGCCTGTTGGGAGGGCACGACTGCCTAGCGGCCCCACGCCTGTTGGCCACGGAGGCTCTCAGCCTTCACTTAGGAACCTCGGGAAGGAGCCATGTGATGTTACACATCTCTCTCGTGCCCTGGGCGTTCTGTGTCTGCGGTCACCTTGAAAGGTAAACATTCCCACTGGCCATGTCCTTGACGGATTGCAATGGCACATGGGGCACAGAATGGAGGGAGGGAGGGAGGAGATTTTGGGAGAAGAGTCACCTCCTACTTGAATTGAGAGCTAAAATAAGTTTCCCCATTTGTGCAGTGCCACGTAATTTCCGGTGTGAAGCCACAAAACGCCCCCACTCAGAACACACAAATGCTATCCTTCCTCCTCTACTGGCCAGGGCCTGGGGACAGCCGAGCGGAGCCAGCTACTCCTGGGAGCAGCCAGTGCTGAGGCAGATGTGGACTTAACAATAAACGAATATGCCTTTTTTTTTTTAAATGACAAGGTGAAAAAGAAGTTTTCAGATCAGGGACTCTTGCCTGAGGAACAGCTGAATGTCGGTGATGAGAAAGAACACTGAATAAACCCAAAATATGTTCCAAGGAAACCCCAAAATGTCTTCTGCATAATATTATCTCCCTGTGCTATAATTGCCAATTTTGAGTTTCTCACTATTTTTATTTTCTTGAGAAATAATCATTTTTATAAATAGCTTTTTAAATGTCAAACTAACCGGCTGAGTAATTTATCTCTACTTATCCTGAATAACTTAACCCTTGTTTAATTTTCCCAGGCATGTCTAAAGTGTTGGGGGGGAGGGGAAGGCGGCATCAGCAATGAGCATCCGGAGTACATTGTTCTGGCTTCGAAAGCCTTGACTTCCTTCCGTGTGGGCAGTGCCGGTTCTCATGGCTGGAAGGCGGTCATCTGGTTGACATCCTGTCAGTTCCAGCCACTCATCAGTCACAGCCCATGGCCAATGTCAGGTAAGACAGATTGAAGCCTCCATGGAGCCACCACCAGCGGCCATGCGACTGCGTCAGAAAGACCTTGACTCATTCTTCAAGCAGCAGGAGGCTAGTCTGGGGTGCTGTGGACACCTGCCCACTTAGATGGATGGTTATGGGCTCCTTGGTCGGAGCAGTCAGAACCAGCTGAAAGCTGGGCTGAGGAGATCAGGAAGTCTAGCCTGACCCAGAACATAGTTCTCCAAGGTCATGCAACGGCATCAGGGACACCTGGAACCGGCTAGCAATGCACATTCTTGCCCCTCCCCCAGACTCAGAACTGGAACTGAGGAGTGGGGACAGTGACAATGACCTGATCAAGTTCAAGAATCCATAGTCTACAACCTTGGCCCTCAGATGGGCTGTCCATTAAAAAACAAAAACAAAAAACAAAAAACATTTTAATCACCAGAGTTTACGATTCTATGAATATGGGATATAGTGTGGACACTGGGATTTTCAAAACTCCTCCAGGTGAATCTGATGGGCGACATCTTCTTCGACTCCGTGCTCTGGGAGAACGCTCTGCCTTCCTGGTCCAAAATACTCGTTTGTCTCCGAAAGTCAGTCTAGAACAGAGTTCGCTGCTCTGGCTGCACATTAAATCATTTAGTGAAGTCTCCAAGATTCTCGCTAAATTGCTTCTTAATTTTATTATCATTATTTCTCAGGTAATTCTTATCTGCAACCCAAGTGAAGAATCAAAGGATAAGAAGCCACACCCCGTTCTCATCTGGGCAGAACTGCTCCCCCAGCAACGCATTGAATGATCTCACAGATGGGATTGGGGTGGGGTGATACTAAAATTTATAACAGGAAATAAGTATTTGGCCTTTCTCTCTCCCTGGCTCAGAGCTCCTTAAACCCTTGGAATTTCCTGAAATGCTGAAAGCAATGAAGGTGCCTTTTGTTATGTTAACGAGGTGACTTCTGGAAAGCACCAGAAGGATGGGGCTGGTGGTCAGTAGAGCCAACCCTATGATTCTAGGGTTGGAGCTTTCAATCCCATCCCCTGACCTCTGGGGAGAGATGAGGGGCTGGAGACCGAGTTCAATCACCAATGGTCAATGATTTACTCAATCGTGCCTGTGTAATGAAACTTCCATACAAATCCAAAAGGATGGGGTTCAGAGGGTTTCCGGCTTAGTGAGCACGTGGAGGTCTGGAGAGAGGGGAGGCCCTGGAGACGGCAGGGGAGCTCTACATCCTTTCCCTCCACCTTGTCCTCTGCATCCCTTCAGCACAGCTGGCTGTTCCAGAGTTCGGTCATTTTTATAATAAACTAGTAATCTGTAAGAAAAAGGTATTTCTGAGTTCTGCGAGCCCCGCAAGCAGGGGACCCAAGGAGGCACTCATGGGACCCTCCAGTCTGTGGCAGGGTGATCAGAAGCCCAGGTGACAACCTCCACCTGTGATTGGTGTCTCCAGGTCGACAGCGTCCGAACTGAGTTGCT